CCCCCCCCCGTGTTCAGCATCATCTTGCAACTCAACCCGGACAGTGTTTGCCACTGTCACCTCTGGGCTGCCCAGTGCGCGAGCTCTGGGTGGGCAGCAGTAGCCAACACTGCCCAGTGCGGCAAGCAGGGGGGCCACAGCTGCTGCTGCCGATGGGTGAGCTCAGAGCCGGCTTGGTGCTGAGGCTGGCAGCAGGGCCGGGTTACAAGCTGGTGCTGAGTGCGGGGAAAAACGACCCCTCGCTTGCCCTATGGCCCCTCTTTGGGCCCCACCGGTGCTGGCCCTAGGACATTGGTCCCAAGATGGTGACCAGGGGGCGGGGCACCTGTCAAGGGGCGGGGCTACCCATGCAGCCCTTGACAGCCTGCCAAAACTGGGTATGCCAAAACTGGGTAAGCAGCCCTCCGCCCGAAATAATTGCCCACCCCTGAGTTAAACAGACACTTGGCCAAGACAGGCAGTCAAGGATGACCATGCCCCTGAACAGGCAGCTGGACTGATGACCTCATGAGGTCCTTTCCAGATCTACTTTCCTAAGATCCTATACCACATAGCTATGGGTATTTATAAGTACCTGAATAGTTTTTCTCAGTTGAAGAAATAAATCCGAAACAGCAGATAATTAAATGCATTAAGAGGAATAATTTCATGAAATAGCAGATGACACTATAAACACAGCTACTTTATTTAAGAGTGCTATAAAACAGAGAACAGGAACATAGTAATGGCCATCTAAGATCAAATGAAGTGTACTTGTGCTCCAATATCCTGTCTGAGGAAGTGGCTATTTCCAAATATATCTAAGGAAATTAATAAAAACTATTATTAAATAATCTTCCTGTGAAGGTGTTTCCTTCTAACTCTCTACCTTATCATTAGTTATCGTAATGCAACTGCCTAGGGCCCAATCCAAAGTTGATTAACATTAATGAGAAGAGTCCCATTCACTTCAATGAAGAGCTGGTGTCAGACACAACCATACAGATTGATTAGACATTTTTGTTTAGCACTGGTTCAGTAGTACTCTGGCAGTGATTCTACATGCTATGTGAAAGCTGTTTTTAAATCAGTGTCAAATTTGTTTGCCTTGACCTTTCACCTAAACCTCCTAATATTACTATAAAGTGTAAATAAAAACCCAGATTTACCTTGTACCTGTTATTCTAGCCCATAAGCACCTGACCTCTCACAGTTGTTTTAAATTTTCTCTCTGTTACTGATCAGAGACAAGAAAAGACTATCAATATGATAAATCTAATTAAGGAAATAAATCCTGGACCAACTTTGGCACACACAAAAAAAACAACAACAAAAACACCCCCCCCCACCCCAAACAGGCATAAACTGGCCATGAGTACTTTAGACCAGAAATCAGAAGATTCCCAACTAACAAAGGAGTAATGTGGGCAAGAAAACTAATAGTTTTCAAAGTGAAACAGTTTATGAAAAGGATTTTATCTTGTGATTACTTGTATAGTAGGGGACTGGACCTGACAGCCCAGAAGGCCTCTTCCAGGTCTTTATTCTATTCATATGCTTTATAATAGATCACACTACATTTATTCATATGGAACTGATCCACAGATTGCTGAAGCAAAGAAGAAGCCTTTTAAAAAAAAAAAAAAATGACCTCTGGTGTTTAATTCAAATAGCTGAATCCTGGAAGAAATTAATCACTTTAACCCAAACATCAAGATGGTACTGAAACTTAATTTAGATGCCCAACTCAACTGTGCATGCACCACAAATGTCCTTGTAAATAGACTTCATATAAATTCCACATGTTGAAAACTTTCATCGCATTATTTAAGAAACTATAGAATATAGGTACAACACAGCAGTTACTATCATAGCATCAAAACAGTAGGAAGTATCCAACATTGGTATCTAACATAGCTAACTTCTGAGGTTAATCGATTTGCTTTAAGAATCTGTAGTCTAGCTGAATTTACAGTCAACACTCATTTTAGCCAAGCTATTTCATATAAAAAAATCTAGGACATTTTACACTTTTCACAGGCAACAATGCTTACTTCTGTAGTGTTCTACCAGAGAAAAAGGCCATAGAATCTCTAAGATCTAACCACCAAATAGTAATAAAACCAGCAGATAAAGGAGGAGCCATAGTCATCCTAAACCGTGA